GAAGTTTTTCCTTCCCTGGGTGTCCTAGTGCTGCTCTTGGTGGGAATTGTTGTTCTTCTGTGAATAACTCCAGAGTCCAGTCTGATCTGCTCTGTTTGGAAAGCTGGAGATAACTGTTGTTGTGATGTGGAGCTAAGGAAAATAAATTAAATCGAATTTGAATTAACCGCCGCCTCCAGCTGTTCAACGGCGACTTCGTGGACCGCGGCTCTTTCTCCCTGGAGGTCATCCTCACCCTGTTCGGTTTCAAGCTGCTCTACCCCGACAACTTCCACCTGCTGAGAGGTGAGCCCCGCGGCCCCCTGGTCGCCCCCCCCCCCCCGGCCAAGGCCGAGGCCTGACGGCTCCTGTCTCCTCAGGTAACCACGAGACGGACAACATGAACCAGATGTACGGCTTCGAGGGGGAGGTCAAGGCCAAGTACACAGCCCAGATGTTCCAGCTGTTCAGCGAGGTCTTCCAGTGGCTGCCCCTGGCCCAGTGCATCAACAGCAAAGTGCTGGTGAGATACCACCCCCCCTTTTCTTTGATTTATTTATTTATTTATGTTGTTTATGATCATTAACGTGACGTTAGCCTTGAATGGCTAGCTGCGGCTAATGGCTAATAACAACACGCCAACATTAATACACGTTAACATCAGTAACAGGTCAGTTTGAAACCAAAGACACTAACCTGTCCAAATTCAGTTTGGGGTCTTTGTTTTTATCTTTGTGGTATCGAAAATGGTATTGAATATTTTACTGAGTATCGGTTGAAAATTTTAGTATCATGACAACACGACCTGAAACGCAACACGACAACATGACAATCTGCTGCAGTCCGTCAGAAATAAGAGGCAGAATGCTTACACCTGTGGTCCACATGTCCCTCTAATGCCCCCCCCCCCCTCAGGTTATGCACGGGGGCCTGTTCAGCGAAGACGGCGTGACACTGGACGACCTTAGGAAGATCGAAAGGAACAGACAACCTCCAGACTCAGGTAGGGTCAAATCAGCAAATTCACCAGGGTCTCAAGATAAAGTAGTAATTAATGATCTGGATTTGGGATGTCCCAAGTAGACCGATCCCGGCCTATCAGAGCATGTATTAGTATTGATGTAGTCAGACTCATGTTGAACAGGGATTTACTCTGATAACAACTTAATGGTTAGGACACAGACCTGTGGGTTACAGATGCTAATGCTAATGCTCGTGTGGGATCGGACATAAAAAAAAAAAATTAAAAAAAATGGATCTGGAGTATGGATCTGCATTTTCTCCTGCCAGCCAATCCAGATATCAGATCGGGACAAGCCTAGTTCAGACTATTAAGTTGTTATCAGAGTAAATCCCTGTTCAACATGAGTCTGACAACTAAGTAAGTAGATAAATAACTTTAAACTCTAACACATGCAAAAAGCAGGATCGGGACGTCCCTAATTAGGACACAGACCTGTGGGTTAGCAGATGCTAATGCTAATGCATGTTTGGGATCAGACTTAAAAAAAAAAGACTGGATCTGGAGTCTGGATCTGCATTTTCTCCTGCCGGCCAATACCATTTTTTTTGCAAATATCGGCGGCCGATCCGATCCAGATATCGGATCGGGTCAAGCCTAGTCCGGATAAAGGGGGACAGGTCCGTGTTGACACTCTGCCCCTTCTCACAGGTCCCATGTGCGACCTTCTCTGGTCAGACCCGCAGCCTCAGGTGAGTCCCCACCCTCCCCAACCTGCCCCCCCTTCAGATTTGGACCAAACGGTCCGTGGTTAACCTTCTCCTGGTCCGGTTCAGAACGGCCGGTCGGTCAGCAAGCGAGGCGTGAGCTGCCAGTTCGGCCCGGACGTGACGGAGCGCTTCCTGGAGCAGAACAAGCTGGACTACATAGTGCGGAGCCACGAGGTCAAATCCGAGGGCTACGAGGTCACTCACTCAGGGAAGTGCATCACCGTCTTCTCAGCGCCCAACTACTGGTACGACAACTCCCCGGGACCGGGTTTATTACCGTGGAAACGAATGTTTCTGTTCGTTAGCTGTAACTCTGCGTCTGTGTGCTGTTGTGTCCTCTTCCAGTGATCAGATGGGAAACAAAGGAGCGTACATCCACCTCAGGGGATCCGACCTCAAGCCAGAATTTCACCAGTTCACTGCTGTGGTATTTGCCCCCTACTTTCTTTTGGGATGGGTCACACGGGCATCGTTGTTTCCACATTGTTTGGTTCAGATTTGGTTTGGGGTAACGGTGACACCTGCTGGGCTTCAGCCGGAACTGCCCTCCTCTCAGGGTTTAGTTTGTTTTAAAGGAGACATATTATACCCTGTTTCAACAAGTTAAACTAGTTCCCTGGTGTCCTAATGTAATGTCTGTGACAAGCTTTGGTCAAAATCCCATAAGGATGAAGCCCAATAGCAGTTCAGTCCCCCTGCCTAACCCTAACCCTAACCCTAACCCAAAACAGCCCCGTTCAGAGCGCTCGCTTTGGAGTGCCTGTCTCTTTAAATGCAAATGAGACACAGGCAATCCACCCACTTCTTCAGGGAGGTGTGCCCACGTCGGCACGCTAACGCTACCATGCTAACGCTACCATGCTAACGCAACCATGCTAACGCTACCATGCTAACGCTACCATACTAACGCTACCATACTAACGCTACCATGCTAACGCTCACGCTACCACAACTTCTGTCACAGATAGGGAGATTTATCTCTTGTATTGAGACTGAGGCAGCCCACAAAAACATGACTGAGTCATTTTTTTTCACACTTTGCCTGCTGATAGGCCCTCCACTTTCCCAAATGTACACAATCAAATTATTAAAAACTTGGTTTTGCATAATATGCCCCCTCTAACGTCTGCCTTTGAACTCCCTCCCGTCACAGCCTCATCCGAATGTCAAGCCCATGGCGTACGCCAACACGCTAATGCAGCTGGGGATGATGTAGAGGCTCCACGCACCCGCCTGCGGCGCTGATGACCACCCGTCAGACCCCCCCACCCCCC